GCATACATGCAGACAGATTATTGTATACATAATAATAATAATAAAAACAGAATAAGACCATTGTATACTTTTAGCTCCTTTGGTGGGTGGTCCTTGGACTTCCCACAGGGCAGGGAACCCTGATTGCTCTTTGGGCTGACAAGGGAGGGGGACTTGACTGGGGGAGGGGGAGAGAAATGGGAGGCAGTGGCAGGGAGGAGGCAGCAATCTTTAATAAATAATTAATAAAAAAATAATAAAATAAAAAAAAACAGAATAAGACTTCACTAGGTTAACACTAAGCTTTCTCCCATTAATTATACTATTGCCACTTTTAAATACTAAGCTCTTTGGAAAGAAAGAGAAGTATCTTAATTACTATCTCATCTGACAACACTTGCATTACCTAGCCAATTTCACAACAGCATTGTGCCTACTTTTGTGTTGTTTTCATCCTTGATCTCAGAACATAGTTTTAAACTGACTCTTACTACTCTAGAGATCAGAAACTCCCAAGTGAAACCAAGGAGTATTTAACCTTTGGTTAATTAACGTGTCCATACCCAAGAGCTGGAGAGATGGCTCAGCTGTTAAGAGCTCACACTGTTTTTGCTGAAGATAGAGTTCAACTTCCAGCACCTATGCTGGGTGGCTTACAACCTCCTGTAATTCCAGGTCTAAGGCGAGCCAGCACCTCTGGGGTCTGCAGATTAATTGATGCGCCATCATATCTCCTTGAGGTTTAAATCTGCTATCCCTAATAATTAATTATAAGTTTTTTAATTTTTTAAACTTTTGTTCATCTGTGCAAATATGGGTATTTGCACATGTGTGCAAGTGCACACAGATGCCAGAAAAATACATTGGATCCCCTAGAACTGGAGTCACTGGAGGTTGCATGCTACTTGATGTGGCTGTTAGGATATACTCTCAGACCCTCTAAAGAGCAACAGGTGCTCTTAACCATCGAGGCTATGCCTACCTCCGCATTAATCATCTTTTCACAAACCTATGGGTCAGTGTCCTGTTATGTTTGGGGAAATGTCCGTTTAGACCCTTTGCCTATTATAACAAGATGTCTTGAGTGTCAGGATTGAGGTGTATGAATTCCTTACATGTTTGGGGCATTAACAACACATTGCATTAATGATTTGATAGCAATTTCTACTATGATATGGGTCACATTTTCATTTTGCTGTTTCCTTGACTGTGTCAGAGTGAGTTTGCTGTATCTCCTCTTGTTTACTTTTGTTTTAGTTGTCGGTGCTTCTGGTGTCATATCCAAAAATATGATCACATACGATCTTAGTGATCTAGGACTGAAATTTAGCCTTATAGCCCTGCTTTTTCTTTTTCTGTATAATTTACACTATGTGTCACTATAAAGGAGATTGGACTCTTTTTATTCTGGAGTAGAATCAGCAGAATAGTATGATGATATCAGTACCCATTTCCATCATTTTAAATTATGTATATATATATATAATTTAAATTTATTTTTACATAATATTAAATGTATTAATTTAATTTATTAAATCTATCTATTTAATTTATTATTTTTTAATTTATTAAATTTAATATTATATATATAAATTTCATGAGAAGCTTTAAATTGATATTGTATCACTTTAACTTTCTATATATGTAAATGTTTTTGGAAACCTCTAGGAAAATGCCTGTACCTTGTAGCTGGTATTGTCTCATACAGTGGGTATGCATTTTTTGATGCACAAATAATGTTGATTGAGGTAGCAATGAAATTTACACTTCGATGTCTGTGCAGGAAAATGACAGTGAACGTACACTTTTTTTTTGAAAACTGTGCAGTTGACCTCGGACGTTTCTATAAAGCTGGATCTTTCAGTTTGTATCAAGTTCTTCAAGTTCTAGATTATTAAAAGGAAACCCCTACTCTGAAAGTTAGAGTTGGGAAAAACATAGGTGTTCTAATCAGACCATTGTTCTCTTAGGGGTTCTAATAATTTCCTCAAATCACTAGGAGTCTAAGACCAGAGACAATGTGAAGTGGTGGTTTTTGTGTTCGTTTGAGACAGGATTTCTTTATGTATCCTTGGCTGTTCTGGAACTCATTCCGTAGACCAGGCTAACCTCAAATACAGAGATTCACTTGCCTCTACCTCCCAGGTGTTGGAAATAAAGGTATGTGCCATCACCATCTGGTTTTCCATATGAAGATTTTGAAAATGCCATTCTCAATTGAGAGCAATGATGACATCACAAACTAATGCCAGCTGCATGCTCTGAACACAGAAAGAAGATCCCACGAAAAATCCTGTCTTTTAGCCTGATGACAGTTCCTTTTAGAACATGAACCATTATAACATTTATTCATATCTATGCAGTCTGTATTTGATTTGTATCCGTGGGAGACAGTAATTTACTATGTGACCCCGGCTTCCTTATATGTTCAATCCTCCTGCTTCAATTTCTCAAGTACTTGGATTACAGGCATATGAAGGATGATAGCAAAACAAACAAGGCAAAATTATTTTAGGAAAAAAATGAGCTTCCACCGTTGTCAGGAAAGGGAGCTGTCTTAGAGGTTAAGAGCACTCATTGCTCTTTCAGGGGACCAAGGTTCAGTTCCCTGGACTCACATGGCTGCTGGAAACTATTTAGAGCTCCAGTTCCAAGAAATCCAGTGCCTCTGTGGCCTCTGTGGGCACTGTAAGTACATGGTACACAGATCTAGATGTAGCTAATTAAAATGAAACATTACAAATGGATTTCTCAAAGGAAAGGAGTCAAATATGCCTTCAGGCCAATAAGGACAAAATACAGAATATCTGGTTTCTCGGGCAAATTATTTAGCTACATCCTCTAAGTCTCAGTTCACCTGTAAACTAAAAATGGCCGTGTGTACTCACGGATGCTACAGGTAGGACATGTGGGGTGGCACAGATAGAGAACTAAGAATGAGGCCAGTATCATGTTCACAGTTCCAGTCCTGGCTGTTAAGTTTACCATTTACCCATAGTGACACTAAACACTGTAACCCAGGTATCATAAATAAAACGCACGTATATTTTATTCTTGGGGCTAACTGCCTAGCCCAAAAGGATCTCCTTGTTGAGTGCCACCATAATAGATGTACATATAACTTCAACAGCTCCGTTTACCATCCATATTTCCTATTATATCCCCTATTATGTGTCTTTCCTGAAGCCGTCTCATTGTAGAAATGGAATTAAATAACTTTGCCTAGTTTTCAGCATAAGAGAATGCAGCAAACATACATATTCGACTGAAGTATAGTGGTACATTATAATATAAATTTTATTGCAAACAATGGCTTAAAGTCTTGACTATTCTTATTTACTAGATTATCGGTGACCAAAGCATTGTTTTTCTTTTCGACATATATTAATGTCAGCTAAGGACAGGGTAAATTTTGAAAGCTATCCCAAAGATGATGGAAATCTCTAGAACACCAAGAAGGACGTGCAAAAATTTTACTCTTGTCAAAGAGTACATCACAGCTGTAAACATGAATAAAGGGCACTATGGCACTATAATGGGGCCAGGACACTATAGCTTTAGTGTCAATCTAACTATTTTCATGGATTGATGTCATCGACACCCAATATGGCCAATCCTATTAGCATTTTGACTAAGGTGTGTCAGTAGGCTAACTCAGATTCTTTGTTTGTATTGTTTAACATCTCATTTTTTGATAATAAGGATTATATATCTTGAGTGGTAACATACTAAGATGGGAGTATCTAATGAAAAACTACTATCGTCATCATAACTTAAAAAACCTGTATTTGTACACAGTTAGTAGTTCTATTTATTAGATATAGAATATATATTATATACTATGTTGTATTATGTGTTATAATAATGTCTAACATGTGCCATGTATGCATTCTTTATTATTATAAGATACAAGTTTTGAAAAGAAAACTGACAGTATCTCTTCAGGACAATTTGGCACAAATGAGCAATCTGGATGGTTTTCTTCACAAAAGGGTTAATGTACAGCTATATATTTGTTCAATGAGAGACATCTTTCGTAATTGGAAGTAATATTTATGCTGAGTTTGAAGCAACATTTCCCACATATACTTGCTACTTTCTCCTAGTTATCTTCCAAGCAAAAAATCAGCTTACATAAGGTAGAACTTTATTTCTCAAAATCTCAGAGTCTAGATATAGATTCTTTCTACCTCCTTCTGTCTCTATCACCAGGGAGGTATCTTCACCTGTGTAGTGTATAGATTTTTCAAGAAGAAATTAAGGCTACTCAGTGTATATATAAGAAATGAGAAGTACCTCTATCTAATTTATATCCTCCTGCAAACAGGTTGGTCTCTTAGTCAAAGCAGTACAGAAGAATCTGACAATACAATCCTCAGGTGGATGGGCATATGCCTAGAAAGGCACTTTTGCCATGAAAGGAATGAAATCAGAGGAACCAGCTATCAGGCACATTCTGCCAACTCTGGCTCTCTTATGAGTCATTTTAGTTATACAAAAGGGCGCATAGTTTGTTGTAACAATATCATAGATGCATATGATATATTAATCACAACCACTCCTTACTACCTGACCTGCCAATCCTCCTCCTAGATGCCAAGAGTTACTCTCAATATTGTGAATTGTCTTTCTTAAGTGGGACCTATGCCTTCACATGCATACATGACATTCTCGGGGAAGCAAGATGATCCTTGCTTATAGAAAGACACATGTTCTATCTGTTCCCTAATGAGATAAAGAACAGAGTCATCTGTTACTCAGAGTTACTGATAACATATGCACACAAAGTCTATCAACAGTGAGTCTTTGTCTCAGTAGAGCACAAGCATCTTATTGATCTTATAGGTCAAGGGCATTAATTTAATTGCATTGTTTCCCATAATAAAAAGAAACATCGCAGAACACAGTTAAGTGTCAAATGGAATGTTCTGAATTATAGGGATTTGTGTGTGTGTGTGTGTGTGTGTGTGTGTGTGTTCCAAATGATTCATCTATTTTTTCCTACTTCTTCTCATTTCCAGTTTGATCACTCATGGTTTCGGGACGCCAGCAATATGTGCAGCTCTGAGCACTTTCCAAACAGTCCTCAGTGAGATGCTTAACTACTTGGAAAAACACACTACTCACAAAAATGGTGGTGCGGCAGACTCTGGCCAAGGACATGCCAACTCGGAGAAAGCCCCGCTGCGGAAAGCTTCAGAGGCTGCCGTGAAGGAGGGCAAAACAGAAAAGACAGACTAGCAACATCAAACAGAATCTATTTCCAGAGAGTCTTGCTGCTCATATTTTTTTTCTAAAATATATATCATTGAGGGTGACTAATTTTCAGTGGACAAAATCTTTACTCTCCCCAGCCCTCCATAAAAATAAAATCAAAATGGAAATTTAAAAAAAAATGAAACAAAAAAGGACAAGTCTAGAAAAATGGAAAAAAAGGAAAACAGCAGTGTAACTGTGTGATGAAATTGTTACTTTGAATTTTCTGTTATGATAAAACTCCTTTTGTGCACGTAATTTATTGTTCTGAATTATATACACCACAGTTTTCAAGCACGTCTGGACTTTGGAGGGGCAGCACATGCTTTTTCACATGTAACTGATGCACTTTCTAATCCAGCTATGTAGTTAGGGATCAGAGAACATGACCAAACTGGAGGCTGCCACCAGTGACTGCAGCTCCAACCATCTTTGACTTAACCCCCTCTCACTCAAGAGTGCCTCTTTCCATTAAACAGGCCAATCTGAAATCCATCCACTAGGACTTGTTTGGGGGAACTGACAAAGGCAGTCAAGAACTTTTGTTCTCTGCACTGACAGCAGATCTAAATATTTAGTCACCCCCAGATAACTGAATTATCTGTGCCTTGGTGGTGTTTAAAAATTCCAGAAACTGCCTCCCTTCTACCTACCATTCCCTTCCCCTTAGGCCCCCTCCCCCATTTCTGAGAAGATATTCAGAAGATTTATATGACTCTGTAGGGATGAGAGACGAACTCTTCCTTGCTAACCTTACAGTTCAAAGACACGCTGAACTTAGTACATGGGGTATATGGACACAGGAGAGGGGAGCTTTGCCACTCCTGCGATCTCAGTGGGATGCAACATTGTTTTGCCTGAAAATTAAGAGAAATGGGAACAGTAGTATTTCTGAGAAGTCCTGCCTGTAAGACTTGGGGTCCCTTTAAAGTACTGGTGTCAATGACTGTGTGGTTGAAGCGAGAGCTATGTTTTTTTTTTACTTCTTGCTACTTCTACCTGTCCCACGTGTTCTAAACCTTTAGAGGCACAAAAGCATCCAGGCTATGTTCAATAAAGAAAACAAACAGAATAATCCCAGAGAAGACATTTATGTTGAAACCTTTTTGTTCTTACAGATTTCTTGTCTTTCAGTTAAGACACTACACATGAGAAATTCCTGACTGCAAAGGCCAGGGATAATTGAAAGAATGTTGGATCCATATAAACCTGTATATGTCAAGAAAGTTGATTGCCATCATGTTGTTCTAGCATTTCTACTGTTAACAATTAAGCTTTTATATAGGCCAATAAAAACATAGATCATTATGTAACAAAGGAATTATCTTCATGTGTAGACACTCAACACTTAGTATAGCATGAAAACATTAACATGTTTCAATTATTTTAAAAATCTCTGCCATATTATAACTTCCTGGAGAATATTAGCATTATAGCTAATGAGAGGAGATATCTGAAACTCTCGTGTATGAATCAAAGAAACTATTTTTACCTGACAATAATTCTTAAAACAGTTATCTTGAGTCTTGTACAGAAAAGAATCATAATCACTGAAAACCTAAAGTGTTTTGATTAAATTTATATAGCAGGAGACATGCTGAGGAATTCCATAACAATGGCACTTATAGTAATACAGTAGAAGAGCTTAAAATAAAAAAAAATGTAAAAGAAAAGAATTATGATTTCATGTGTTTAGTTCCATTTTTCTAATTTACCACTATTCATGGCTTTACTTTCTTAAATAAAATAAACATAAAACAAAGCCAACATTCTTCCACAGTTCCAAATTTTATGAGAAAATAAGTAAGACCATGTATCAAGTTTCCCATACTGTAAAATACACATACCAAGAAATGGTAAATATCCCAGTTTAGCAAGTGGTAGGAAAGTTACATCTAGATAATGTGGACTACTGTTTCCTCAATAAAACCTCCACACGAATTGTTCTTTATCCCATTTAGTATTAATAATACACTTGTATTTAATATGGCATTTTGAGATGCATACTACTAGTACTTGATGTAGTTATAGACCATGCCAATTGTTCACCAATCATCAGCTGGAACTCCAGGTCTGGCTTATGTTACCAGTCTACTTCTTCACCCTTAGTTATAACTAGTTTGGGTTCTGAACACCTCAGTGGGGTGTTATTATTTATTAGCCTTGAAACAAGATGTAACTATAACTACAGTGCTTATTACTTACCAGGATTGCGGGTGTTTTAAGAGCCTTAATGGACAACACCCATCATTTCACTTAACCAGCCATTAGAACATAAATGAGTTGATGGACTGGTCCTGTTTAGAATCATCATTTATTATCATATTCTAACAGACATTGTTAATACCAGCTTTTGCCTTGTATATAATAGGTAATCAACACTTTTTAAATAAATGAATAAATGAATGTGTGTTTGTTCTTTGTCCAAAATGGGCCAAAGGACCTCCTAAGTTTTGATGTTTTCTTTCTACGCTCAATGTTTCAGTTGAGCTTGTTTCCTTCCCCTTTGGTAATTTGTGGTTAAATTTTATTGGAATAATGAAAACTTTTCATGATAGCTCATTAGTTACATATAGATATATTTAATATGAAACTACATGGAAACCTAGTTAGATATCAAAATTTCAATAAAAATCAAGTTAAAATATTTTCATAGTTTATAATGAAGATAAGTAACAAAAATTTGGTTTTCCATGTTATAAGTAAAAAAGGAGCCTATTCAGATAAACTATTACAAAGACAAAAAACCAATTGTACAAACGTATTAAATTTACTAAAACAATAAGAATTTAACATTTCAACTTGGTGGAGTAAGTTAAGTTTCTATACGAAGACATGCTTGCTTTGCAGCTGTTTAAATGTCACAGTTGTAGCTATATCATTAGATTTACCATCGGGATTAAGTGTGGTCGCTCTAGAAAAATAAATAAAAAGTCTGAGTTACTCTCTTCTTTTCTTTGGAGAGATCAGGCGATGGGAAATGCTGATCGGTGCCCCCTCTGCCTTCATTGTAGATTTCTTTTTTTTAATTAATTAATTTATTAAAGATTTATGTCTCTTCCCCACCACCACTTCCCATTTCCCTCCCCCTCCCCTAATCAATTCCCCCTCCCTTGTCAGCCCAAAGAGCAATCAGGGTTCCCTGCCCTGTGGGAAGTCCAAGGACCACCCACCTCCGTCCAGGTCTAGTAAGGTGAGCATCCAAACTGCCTAGGCTCCCCCAAAGCCAGTACGTGCAGTAGGATCAAAAACCCATTGCCATTGATCTTGGGTTCTCAGTAGTCCTCATTGTCTGCTATGTTCAGCGAGTCTGGTTTTATCCCAGGCTTTTTCAGACCCAGGCCAGCTGGCCTTGGTGAGTTCCCGATAGAACATCCCCATGTTCTCATTATGTGGGTGCACCCCTGGTGGTCCTGAGTTCCTTACTCGAGCTCTCTCTCCTTCTGCTCCTGATTTGGATCTTGAGATTTCAGTCCGGTGCTCCAATATGGGTCTCTGTCTATGTCTCCTCTCACCGCCTGATGACGGTTAATATCCAGGAGGATGCCTATATGTTTGTCTTTGGATTCACCTTCTTATTTAGCTTTTCTAGGAACATGAATTATAAGCTCAGTGTCCTTTATTTATGGCTCAAAACCAAATATGAGTGAGTACATCCCATGTTCCTCTTTTTGGGTCTGGCTTACCTCACTCAGGATAGTGTTTTCTATTTCCATCCATTTGTATGCAAAATTCAAGAAGTCCTTGTTTTTTACTGCTGAGTAATACTCTAATATGTATATATTCCATACTTTCTTCATCCATTCTTCCATTGAAGGGCATCTAGGTTGTTTCCAGGTTCTGGCTATTACAAACAATGCTGCTATGAACATTGTAGAGCATATACTTTTGTTGTATGATAAGGCCTGTCTTTTGTATATTCCCAAGAGTGGTCCAGGGGTAGGTTGATCCCGAATTTCCTGAGAAACCGTCATACTGCTTTCCAAAGTGGTTGCACAAGTTTGCATTCCCACCAGCAATGGATGAGTGTACCCCTTTCTCCACAACCTCTCCAGCAAAGGCTATCATTGATGTTTTTTATTTTAGCCATTCTGACAGGTGTAAGATGGTATCTTAAAGTTGTCTTGATTTGCATTTCCCTGATCGCTATAGAAGTTGAGCATGACCTTAAGTGTCTTTTGGCCATTTGAACTTCTTCTGTTGAGAATTCTCTGTTCAGCTCAATGCCCCATTTTATAATTGGGTTGATTAGCCTTTTACAGTCTAGTTTCTTGAGTTCTTTATATATTTTGGAGATCAGACCTTTGTCAGTTGCAGGGTTGTTAAAGATCTTCTCCCAGTCAGTGGGTTGCCTTTCTGTCTTAGTGACAGTGTCCTTTGCTTTACAGAAGCCTCTCGGTCTCAGGAGGTCCCATTTATTCAATGAGGCCCTTAATGTCTGTGCTGCTGTGGTTGTACGTAGGAAGTGGTCTCCTGTGCCCATGTGTTGTAGAGTACTTCGGAACACAATGAACCTGATAGAAGAGAAAGTGGGAAGTACTCTACAACACATTGTAGATTTCTTATCCCTGGATGAATTCCTCCTTGACCTTGCAGGTTCTCTGCTTCCTGTTTCTTGAGGGGTGTGTAACAGGTAAGGCTGAGCCCCACAGGGAGAAGCTGCAAGCATTCTTATCTAACAGTGACACTGACGAGAATTTCACCCTTTGCTACCTGGTGCTTCTAAGATAAATATTTCAATAAATTATCCTTAGTATTAATGAATGAAAAAACAGAATCCATTTTCTCATATTTTCTCCCCTATGTGCTTCTTTGTAAGCATGTTATATGAGAGAAATTTTATAAATGATCAAAACTCTGAGTCTGTAACCTTCTTAGCAAGGACAAGCCAATGTGTGAGAGCAGGCTGACGTCACCATTCGGGGCCAAACTACCTGGGATCAGTCAACAGTTCTTTGCTTCGCATTGTGTGATCTTGAACAAATTGTTGGATTTTCTGTGCTTTGACTCTTCCCTCTGTAAAATGAAGATATTGACAGTCACATACTCCCAGAATTATTATCAGGGCTGCTTATCTCCAAACAAAAAAAAAGATTAGTGCTATGTAAATGTTAGCTATTCTCTTCAATACTTAAAATTTGGACCATTGACTTTTACTTACAGATCAGTTTCTTGGCAATCTATGTAGCCTCTTTGATGGCAAAATATCTCCTAAAGACTGGGGATCCAGAGGGAAATAGAACTTTATCAAAGTTTGTGTGACTGATACCAGTCGTTGAAACATGGGGAGTGCCATAGCACAAGCAAATACAGAATACTATAGTTCAAAGCTGTCTAACATCTGGAAAACAGAAGCTGGAGCCAGGGAATGAAATCAAAGCAAAGGGTTATATTCAGGAAAGGGGGAAAGTGAAAATAAGGACAGGGAAGAAATGCTGGCTGTGAAAGAGCTTAAACACTAAACACTTAGGGAAAGGATGCTGCACAAATGTCAGCAGACTCACGTCGCTTCTGGTTATCCCTACCTGCTTCTCTATTGGGCAGCAATACAGATTTTGGCCACACTATCTCAGAAAATAAGTATGACTCAAACACAAAGAATGCACGAAACCAGAGGAAAATTTCTACACAAGTTTTCCGTTTCAAACCTGAAACACCTTCCCTTTTTAGAGGAGTGAGATATGGTTCAAGGTTAGGGCACTAACCTACCATCTCAGAGGCACTGAGTTAAATCTCTAGAACCCCAAACAATAACACTATCTTAGGTTCTCAGTAACTTAGGGTTGAAAGGCTTACTCCAAAAGGACAGTTATACTGTGCACAATCAGAGACACAGAAAGAGACACAAAGACCGAAAATAGCCTAGTGGTTTGGGAAAGAGGGGAAGGGGAATTTTAAACAACTTCGGTATCATTGATTCTCTGATAAGTTAGTAAAATGGTGATGGCAGAGCTTATGCAAGAAACCAGCTAATATCTGATTTCACTTAGGGCCCATTCCATGAGTGGGAAGCCATATTTGACACAGCGTGGGTAATTAAGAATCTGAGACTAGATAGCCCAGGGACCTAGGGCAAAACCTAATACTATGATTTGCCTAAAATAACATAGCAATAAATTGAATTATTGCATTCTGCTTTACTTGTAGATTAGTACCTTTGCTCAATCATCCTCAGAGAAGCTTTCTCCAGCAGCAAATGGGAACCAACGCAAATACTCTCAGAGCCTGAGAATAGAAACATCACCGAGCTCAGCACTAAACAGGATGTCTCCATCAGGTCTCTCGCCTCAAGGCTTAGGGAACGATGAGGAAGAGGAGGTGGAAAGGGTTCAAGGGCCAAAGGAGATGGAGACTCTCAATTAAACAAGGCCCTCCAAGTCCACATGATGAAAAATCAAATGAACTCACAGAGACTGAAGCAATACGCACAGGGCCTGCGTGGGTCTGCACCATATGGGGTTCTAACCTAGAGGTTATCTCAGATTGATAGCCATGAAAAACCAAAAATAAATTTAATAAAAAGAAAACAATAATTTAGTTTTCTCTAAGGGAGTCTCACTGGGGAAACAAACACTTAAGGGTGAGTTGTATACCCAGTAACAGGTGACCAACCAAAAATGAACTCAAATGTCTTGTTGAAACTTTGAAAATATTGTCTTAATTCTAATTTTTATTTTATATATATATATATATTCTCTTTTTACCCTACAGGTCTTTTGCATATATATTATGACTTCCACGTTAGTAGGGGTTTTTTTTCTTTGTTTTGTTCTTTTGTTTTTGGTTTTCGAGACAGGATTTCTCTGTAGCTTTGGAGCCTGTCCTAGCACTTGCTCTGTAGAACGGGCTGGCCTCAAACTCACAGAGATCCGCCTGCCTCTCTAGTGCTGAGATTAGTTGCATGTGCCACCACTGTCTGGCCTCTTTAGTGTTTTGATGGGACTCTTGAATATGTAAATGGGTGAGTCTGTACATCTATATCTGTTTCTGTGATTTCCTTAGGCTCTCTTTCTTCTGTTTGTTTTGCACCGTTCCAATCTCTCAATTTTTGTTCTATCCTACTTGTTGTTATTATTATCCATTAGATGTTTTTATTCTCATGAGCATTAGAGAGAGGGTAGATCCTAAGGAGAAACTGAAAGAGCAGCGAAACAGAAATCTATAATCAGGATATATTATGCTTAAAATCTATGCTTTTACTGGGGGAGAGTGGGTTTTGAATTTGGGTTTTCAAGAAGGGTTTCTCTATATAATTGCTCTGGCTACCTTAAAACTTTCTTTGCAGACCAGACTGGCCCCAAACTCACAGAAATTCACCTGTCTATGCCTACTGAGTGCTGGAATTAGCAGCATGAGCTGCCATGCCTGACATTGACACTCGATTTTTAATAAAAGG